TATTTATTTATTTTTTTAATATATTTTATTGATTTTTTACAGAGAGGAAGGGAGAGGGATAGAGAGTTAGAAACATCAATGAGAGAGAAACATCGATCAGCTGCCTCCTGCACGCCCCCCACTGGGAATGTGCCCGCAACCAAGGTCCGTGCCCTTGACCGGAATCAAACCCGGGACCTTTCAGTCCCCAGGCCGACGCTCTATCTACTGAGCCAAACCGGTTAGGGCAAGACCTTTAAAAAGACTAGATGATCACTTGATATGATCAAAAAATTGCAAGAGCTTTGGAAAAAAACAAAAACAACATGGAGAGAAACCAGCTTTGTCTGTCGTTCTGGCCGCAGGGGTCCGTATCGAATGTCTGCCAGGCTGTGACCCTGAGGGAGGTCTGGCCTCTCTCCATCGTAAATGAGGGGGAGGGGGGACCCTGACAGGGATGCGGCCCAGGGCCAGGGAGCTGAGCTTTCGTGTAAGAATTTCTGTGGGGTCTGTGTGCACTGACCTTCCGGAGGGAGGGGCTCCCTGGAGAAGGCACTCCCGCGCTCTGGCATCCTCGCGTGGCCCAGAAGTCCCTGGAAATCCTTTGGTCTGGCCCTGCCACGGCATGAGGGGTGAGTGAATGCAATGCTTGACCCAATAGAGCAGGCTCATTTTTTAAAAATATATTTTGTTATTGACTTCAGAGAGGAAGGGAGAGGGGGAGAGAGAGAGAAACATCAAGGATGAGAGAGAATCACGGATCGGCTGCCTCCTGCACACCCCACACTGGGGATCGAGCCCGCAATCCGGGCATGTGCCCTGACCGGGAATCGAACCTCCTGGTTCCTAGGTCGACGCTCAACCACGGAGCCACACCGGCCGGGCTAAAACTTCATTTTTAAGTCAGGCATCTACGTGTCCTAGTTTTAAGAAAACACCAAGCCCTGGCCGGTGTGGCTCAGTGGATAGAGCATCGGCCTGTGGACTGAGGGGTCCCAGGTTCGATTCCCGGTCAAGAGCACATGCCCGGGTTGTGGGCTGGGTGGGACGTGCAGGAGGCAGCTGGTCCATGATTCTCTCTCATCATGGATGTTTCTCTCTCCCTCTCCCTTCCTCTCTGAAATCA